TCAACCCTTTCAAGAGTTCCACTTAGTGCTCAATGATCCAATTCTGATGGCTGAAACCACCTTACCCAACAAGTTTACTGTTATTTAAGCAAATATAGAATATCTAATAGGTTTCTTTGCATGACATACAAAATGAGTAAGTTTGATACGGGAAGTGCACATGAGCTGTTATATGAACTGTCTGAACACCACTTCAGCGGTATCTTGATCAGTTAATGTGGTTCTTGTGAGGAAAGTCAGTATTTTTTGGGACTTAGAATGCTACTAATAGTGAGCTTGATCAAGTTATTTGTACTATTGATTGCCAGTGAACGAAATGGAATGATGATTAAACAATAGGAAACAGCAACGAAAAAGTATTCATCATGAGTACCAAACAGGCAAAGATAACTTTGGCTGTTAGAATATACAGTTATATGTGTTTTGATGAAGTTAGAACAGAAAGCCTGCAACACAAAAAGTAAACGTCTTATTCTATAGTGCCTCGGCTTTCTTTCTACATTTGAAAAGACAGAGGCGGATAAAACAGAACAATGAAGCAATGATATCGAAGAACTGATCCTGTACAAGTGATGGCATTTTCGAAATGACGTCTAAACTCTGTTGGCTACGTCGTCTATACATCTTATCGGAATTGCATTACAAAATATCTATGTTTCGCCCAAGTATGGATAATGCCAGTAACAGAAATCGGGTGGACAATTAGCGTGTAATTATAAAAGTGTCAGTTCACGAAACACATAGACAGTAATGATGACGGTTAACTAACTATACATATTACTTCGAATATAGCATTTATAACTTTGGTAGTATTAGTATTAGGGAAGACTGATAAGAGTCAAGCCATACTGAAGTTAGAAAACAATGTTCAGAACTATAAAATAGATATTAAGAGCTATCAATTTTATAGTTATTTTATACTATCAACACTTCAGTCATGGCGTGAAGATTGTTCAGTTATTTTCTTGCACCCTATCTACCTCTTTGATCAGCCTTGTACAAAACAGAAGACCAGTTAGTCTCCGTGATATTTTGATGACCCTCATCCCTTTAAATATGGTCAATAAATGCTACCAAGATGTAACAGTCGTCTTTACACTTTTTTTTAAACTTTAGACACATGTAAAAGTTTGAGCATATACATACCTATCTACTGTTCTAACAGGCTGACAAAACAAAGTATGGAGGTGAGGACCTGTGAAGGTGATGGTTGAGAAACCAGTGCTTCCACCAACGGGTGACGGTGTCAGATCCCATCAATTGTGAAAAGAATATTGCTCAGTCACTCTGACAGATCAAGTTCAGGATATGCATCATGATGATCAGTGGTAACAAGGAAACACCACACCTGGACCGCTACAATCTATAACAGGATGCTGCTGATAGCTCGATCAGTAGTGTCAGAGAAACAGAATGGTTGGAATGCTGTTATCAATACAAATGGGTAAAATAATTCAGGCTAAAGCGAATATGTGATTGGATCAGGCAGATGAAAATTCGACAAGATAAATCTATTTTTACTTAAAAATTCCATCTTGTAATTTATTTTTCTTAGTTATTCAATCAAAAAAAATGAATACATATATCTGAGTTGAAATAAAAGCATAAACAATAACAGTAGTGATTATTACCACTATAAATTACCACAAAAAGGGCGGATTTTCAACTATTAGGAATTCATAAATCAATCAATAGAAATGTCTAAAATCCGTGTCATAAATAATGCGTTAAACGCAAAAATTATGAAAACTCCTGCATATTACCTACTACTGGTATTATCAATACAACTACTGTTATACGGTTAATATTACTACTACTACTACTACCATTAGTAATAATAGTAACAGCTAGGATGTTTTCAAAATTGCACGTAAATAATCTAAACTTCTGCTTAGATTCAAAGAAGTGCAACAATCACCTGTTAATGGGAGCAAAGCGTTTTTTACTTGGATTTTCACCCAAGAGTAATTCACCTAAATTTATGAAACTGTATTTCATTTAAAGTGAATGATCTGGCTCAAATAGTTGCCATTATTACTGTTATTAGTATTATTGGTTGTTGTTGTATCGAAATCAGTGGTGATCATGATGAAATGTGGCTTCCCGAATAAGCAACACAACAGACGTGACAATACGATATAACTTATCTTTTATAGAGGAAAGGTGAAGTGATGGATGGATATCAAGAAAGAGGGAAATACACATACCGACGACTAAACAACTGAAATTTTATACTACGCAACAGACTGACTAATATTTTTCTATTTGAAGGAACATGTTAAGTACATACAAGACAGTGGTGACCATGTGGACAATACTGACAGTATATGTCGATAACTAAGCAACTTTATAAGTAAGAAAGTATGCATAATCCATCGAACTGCGACCAAACACGTTTACAGACATGCATAAAAAGATGCATCTTCAAATGTATTTTATTCAACTGCAAAGCGATTATAAGAGGAAATGTGTTCAGATAATACTGCATTAGTGTTGGGGTTCACTGAGTTAAGCACTTGACCTTCAATCGAAAGCTCTCAGTTTCAGCACCACTCACTTCAGTCTGTGAAATTGTACAGCATCTTAAGCTCTCAAAATACGTATGACTTACAGCCTAGTTGATAAAAACCCTATTGGCTTGGTTTATATCATATCAATGGTGTCGACATATGTGATTTCCAATAAGAAAATAGGTAAATAGACAGCAGTACAGCTGACGTTCCAATTACAAGATTGGCCAATTTCCGTTCGGAATTGTGGTTATCTCTACGGCTTATACATACCAGAAACTACGCATCTGTGATGATATCTAATCAGAGTGAAAATGGCAAAATGAGTGAGAAAGGCTAATTCAACTCAGTAATCTAAGCATCTGTAAGTGGAGATGGGTTCACAAACATGTGATCCACAAGTTAAGAAATGTGTTGAAACCAATTGGTTACAGGTAGATCGTGAAACAGTGGATAATTGTTTTCTCGCGTTACACTGTAAGTTGTAGTTTGATGGGATAGGCTTTCCTGTTGCTAAATCTACATGCACTTTGGTTATTAGTATAGTTCCCTGTCAGATGGTTTATGAGGTTACACAGTTTGACCTCATTGGTCTCTGATAAATATGTTAGTTAGTTGAAACCTGTCAAATTACATTCACCAATAAAGGTAGAAAGCAGCTATAAAAATCATTTATATACCTCAAAATCAGACCAAGATGATATGAACTCAGTTGCTACAGAATTAACTGAAAATATTCAATAACATGATAACCACAACCTGATTAGCAGAAATTCGTGTTTTCACTACATCTTTTTCAGTGCCATTAAAATGAAACTGAGGTATCAAAATAATTCTGGCTCAGTTGGTTGTTTGTGAAAGTACTAACACTATGTTCTTAAAAAATTCAACTAGGTATGATGCAACGATTAAAAATACCCTTTGGATAGCGTGGTTGATGTAGGCGGTGTTTGAGCAGGTAGCCGGAAGTAAATGATCCCAAATTTGACACAAAACACAAGTAACAAAATCGTAAGTTCGCTACTATTTTAAAACAATGTAATTTTTAACGAACAAATACTATATATATATATATATATATATATATATATATATATATATATATATATATATATATATATATATATATATATATATCAGCGAAGACTTAACTATTCGTTCCAATGGTTGGAATGAAAGCAATGTAAAATTTCAAAAACTTCCATTGAAAGCAACAAAGATTAAGCCTAGTAACATTATTTAGTCATGATGTGTCGATAAATAACGTTATGCTACATTGATAAAATACATATTGCATTGTCAATACTGAAAACTTCAGCAGGGAACCGATTATCATCCAGGAATCCGTCCAAATAATTCAGTCTCCCGATAAATCATATTTGGCTATAACACCTTAGATGCTACTGTACAGCAATTTTGATTCACGGTGAAAGTATGACTTTCCTAAACCAAGGATGACGACAAGCACAAAATAGGTTTGAGTCTTTCTGTAGATAGGCCTTATTAGTTAAGAGATTTTTTTATACTTTGGCTTTTGTTAATTGTTCATAATGATTGTCTTTAGGTGGAAACCTTAGTTAAACACCAAGTGAATGGATTTATAGCTATACCACACAAGACAGCCTTCTCGAGGTAATGACTGCAGATATATTAAAACAACATATAGATTAGTATTATATTGACTATTGGAACAGTCTAACAGACCAGAAGGTGAGAATCCCAAATCCGCTGACTTTATGATGGTGACGACATAATGAGTCATGATTATCAGACTCAACCATTGGAAAACCCACTAAACAATATTGTTAAATGATTCGAGAGTAGTATGAATGATATTCTTAAGGTATATTTCGTTAGTTTTAAGCTTGAGTTAGTTAGGATGGATGTATACATAAAAAATACATTACCGTGAAAAGGCTCAACTAAATCGTTAGAGTAGCTCATGTCTTGATTTACAGCCTAGTTATTTTCGTAGTTGACTTACAACCGTCGCATTACTGACTTCAGCCTATTATATCATGATCATTACTCATAGTCTGGTGGATGAACAAGGCTACTAAAGCCACCTAGAATTGACTGATAACGGTGGAGAAATGCAACTTTTTTACGTAATGCGACTTAAAGATTCTTCACGTCTTTGCATTACGTGATGACTGGCATCTGCTGTGATGGTTAATTACACTACATGATAAATAGTGCAGGATTTGAGCTCGTGTCTCATGAAATAAAAATGTCTGGACCATATAACCGTACTGTGCAAACGTGCTCCCAGGATTTTAATGGATTTCGAAACAAATACTTCAACAAAGTAACTACAAAAAAGTAACGACTTATGGTATATCAAGCCATAAGTAGCTTTCCATCTGCATATCTGACGAAAATAATGGATAAAAAGTAAAATAAAACCAACTCAAACTATTGAATGGTAACCATTAGTTTCATTCAAGTATAAAACGAAATACAGAGTAAAATTTTACATTATTTACTTACAGCGTGATTGAGAAGGACTGATTGGACTAAACAATAAATAAAATCACTCATACTTGGATTGGAATTGGCTAGTAGTGCATCAAAATCTGGTAACAAACTGGGCCCGTTCAAGGCTGTAGTTGTCGTAGACGTTCGACCTGATGGGTTAGCAGGTGTCTGATCATTAGAAGATAAATAATCCACAGAAGGAACTGTAACTGTTGTTGATATAATGGGTATCTGTTGTTGATTTGAAGAATCAGATAAAGTATGAGAATTATCATTTAATACTGTGGGTGAAGTATTTGTATTCCTTGGAGATGCTGGATGTGAGACAGTGGGTGATGGTAAAGAAGAGGCAACATTTCGTAGCAGCTGTAGTAGTTGGGCGTTTGATGTTCGACCAGTAGGGATTAAAGGTGGTTTTAAAAAGTTATTCTGGTTTTGTTGGTGGGCAGATAAATTTGAGGCCACATTTGATAGTAAACTAGTTAATCCATGATTAGGTATAATTGGAGGTGGTTGCATTATACTATTTGATGGTAAACAGCAAGCTGGATTACTCATTGTATTCATTACATCCGATTTCAATGGGTTAGTGTGATTCGAAGACACACTTGAACTATTCGTACCTGTAGTTGTAGCAACGGTAGATGTAGACCCAGTGGAGGTTTGTGAAGTAACTGAAGAATGCAAATACATAGCATACAACCTTTAAACAGCGCCAGTTTCAAGTGATTCCAAATACAATGGAGAATAGATGCAGGTTAGATACTCAATGATCAACTTATGGTCAACGTTCTCACAGTTGTATCGTTTCCATCAAATACTAAATGATGGTTTAAAATCCCAGTACTATGTTTGTGTATAGATAGTGCAGATGACAATCAATTAGAAGGATGAATTCACTCCCACTTTACTGATATCTGTATGACATTAATATTCTCTCCTATGATGAATAAAATGCGTAAAACAAAGTTTAATTCTGTAAATATTTCTGCTCAAATAAAAAGTGAAATAAAAACAACTGTTTGAATCAATCAGTAAGTAGAAAAGATGAACTCAAAATCTCAGGTGAAAATGCATGCGTAAAAAGAAAAGTTCACAAACCATATGAGAAAAATGTGGTTTAAAGAGAGATAAAGAGGAGGGAGTGAATGAAGAGAACTAAAGATCAAAAGTGCATAACACATCGATCTTTCATTTTAAACAATCAAACTATCTAACCAAAGGTTCATATGATCCTTTCGAATCATGAGATGGGCATGCTCTAATCGTGTGTGTGTGTGTGTGTGTATGTGTGTACTCAGTGAGTGTAGCGAAAGCTACAAGTTCACTCATCACATCTCACAAGGTGGTGATAAATAGTTAAAAATAATATGTATATAATAGCATCATCCTACCGTGGTTTAGCAGACTGGTATTGATACTGCGTGATTACCAAATAGAGAACTACAAAGAGGTTTTATTTACCCATGGGATTGTTTAGATGTAATGTCAAAATATCTCTTGACTAGACGGTGATTAATGGTTACACCATTTGAAGTAGCACAAGTGCAATTTAAAAAAATACTTATCAAAACTAAATTTTATTTGATTACGTTTGGATGTAGGTTATGTAAGTGAGGTGTACGAATTTTGGAAAAAATATGAAATGTATGAGTACCTTAGGTCGTTTGTAACCAACCAACACAGGTCTCGACTCCGAGTCCTGTTTCATCTTCAAACTGAGCAAATTAGCTGCTACAAATAAAGTGTCTCCAGTACATAAAATTGGATCGGCTAGATGAGTTACATTTATCAGTAATTAATCTTTGTATATTCAAGAATGTTAAGAATTAGTAAAGATGGCTAATAGCTAGCAGTGGAATCCAGGATGCGCATTTCGTCCTATTTGGGACTCGTCAGCTGGATGCACAGGGACCCACATACCAATAGAGACCGATCAATTCGGTCCAATCAACGACGGTATAATACAAGCAATAACAATAATGTTAAGAATTGTTTAAGCAACAGCTAAAAGTCATAGTGAGATAAAACTAGTTTATTTCAATAACTAACTTAATATACTAGTTGCTAAGGTGATAACATCTTTTCAATGAAGACAATAATACTAACTAGAACGTATGTACACTCAGTCTGATGAATTCACATGTAAGGAAAGCGCACCCTGAAATACACCTTTAGTTGACGCTAAACATCACTAACATTCAATTTTTGTTCATTTATAGAGCCAACGATTTCAACTGGTAATAAATATTTAAGCTGTGGTCAGTATCAGTATTAAAAGTATTCTACACACTAATCACCTGCATACAGATGTGAATTGGCGGTGGCAAGAGATTACTAATTCGGTTTCAACCAATTATGTAGGGTTATCAACCTTGCAGAATCATCAGTATGGGATTATGTTTCTGAAGATGCAACTGAATGAGGTTAACTGTCACTTCTGAACTGTCCAGTCCCAGATTCAAATGGATTCTACCTAATTTAATGTGCGAAAGTGTACTTTAGGAGCGTTACAATAGTTATAGGTTCATTGTCATTGATATTTCTTTTCCCTTATATATGAATATTCCTATTATATAAACTAATCTAAACTTTTTTATCAAAGGTACAAAAAGAAAGCCTAATGCTGTAATCTATTTTCATTTCTCATGAGCTCAGATATCAACATGAATCCAAAATAAAGAGGAAAAAGTAGTGTCTAGATGTGTGCCCAACGTGTCGTTCAGAGGTTCACTAGGCTATAAAGTGTTTTGAGCCACTGATCATTTATCACATCAATGCCAAAATCATACAGCACTATTTAGTCGCCTTCATAAAAATTTCCGGAGTAGATAGCTTCTTTGTGAATAAGCAGTTTTATGTCAGCCAAAACAAACATGTGAACAGGCATTTGGCTAGTAGATAGTTGTAGTGATATTAACTTGTCGTTGATTGAATAATACAAACAATATCAATACAACTATCTATCCCTACAGCATAAAAGCTACACCTATCGCACAAGAAGTGATTGCCGTGACTCGGTGGCTTAGGGGATAACGCTCTGGTGTTTGGAGCGGTCGGTCTCGGGTTCGAGCCTTAGTGGGAATAACACTCAATGGGAGTCAGATACAATCCAGGCGACTAGAGATTTCTGAAAAGGACAAAACGCACGTCCTGCATCCCACTGCTAGCTACTACACATCACTACCATACGAGATGTAATATTTCCATAATAATAACACGATGTAAAATGGTCCGTCGACTTTTTCACTTTTACGTAGATATTTCAGTTTTAGAGCGCAATGGTGTTCTGTTGGTTATATCACCAAGGTCTCAACCGATTTCTTCCGGTGAAGTACATTTCATAGTCTACTAGTTTTTTACTTCGTTTAGCAGATGTAAATAAGTTTAATATTCATTGCAACCAAGGGGAAACCAGGATCCAAATCGCTAACCTTTGACTTGACTGCACTCAGCTTGATATGTACTGATTACACTAAAATCTCTTACAGAAAAGTCACCTTAAACATGAAAAGTATGTTTTTAGAATGCTGGCGGTTGCAGATTTTATCCGATTTATTCACTGTCGTAATCTTTGGGTACAAAGATAAATTTTCCCTCCTAGCACAGATAAAACCCACTTACACACATGCATCAATGAAAAAGGCAGGTGAACAAATAAATAATCGTCAATAAACTCACCGAAAGTAATTATCCGTTTCATTAAATGAATAATAGTCCGAATAGATAAAAAATTTATGGTCTGAGAAGAAAAATTAATCCGTCAGAGTAAAAATTGTTAACTGTCATGATCTATGTCAGTTCGTCTATGTGAATAAAATATGTGTACGTACGCATGTGTTTTTGGGCTGTGTTCTAACCTGCCTATAAGCTGTTTAACATACAAATGCCTCAAGAGAGCAGGTCAACTTTAGGTGACAGGCTAAACCGCCCCTGATATGCGAAGCAGTTCACACGATTGAGTGTGAGATAGACAGTATTTAATAACAGATATATGCGGGCTAGCCAAAGAGAGAGAGATGGCCTGAACTCTGACTCCTATTTGTCGTAGCAACCGCAACACAGGCCAGACTAGTGTCAAGTTAGACTAACGTGGGGGCGTGGTGGTCTTTAAATTACGCTCGCACATGTCAGCTAGGGTAGGTTGTGCAAATATATCACTACACCCCTATTTGGCTAGACAGACATAACACACATGGACTTCGTGGTGGCCTTTAGCCTATGTCTGTTTGGGCTATAATAGCCTCAATTAGCAGTTCAGAAAGTTCAACTAACATACCGATCTGTGTAATTGGTTGTAGGATGGACCATTAGAATAAGAATAAGGGGGTGGAGTCAAGGTCATTTAAACGAAGACAATAACATAATAGTCGATTACATTTGATTGTGATTTATGGATTACAAAGTACCTGAGCCACTGTAGAAAAAATAGAGGGGATTGTCAGAGGGGTTTATCATAGGCTAGTATTTATTTATCCTTCCACTAGGACGATAATTTCCTGAATTAGTCTTTGCAGCGTAAGGCTTTTTTATCTCGTTTGTCAGCCATGGAAAATTCATTCGGTAGAATAATTTTAACAGAATTCGTCCCATGTTTTGTATTTTTTACGGAACCGTTTTTAAAACTAGCGTCTGCTTCAAACAATATATATATATATATATATATATATATATATATATATATATATATATATATATATATATATATTGAATCGAAGGCAGTTTATCTCACAAAATGAAGTCTATCAGAAAATGTTCTATTCCATTCGCTTTCCTCTACTCAAGTGTTCCCCTTCGACATCTTTTATCAGGAAAAGCCCAGAAACTTGATACATTGTGTTACCATTCAACCACTGGGCTTAACTGATGTTCAGGCCTCTGTAACTAAAGTCGATACATAAAAATGCACAATAATCGTGTGATTTTAGAGCGATTATAAAGGCCACCTCAGCAACTGATAAGACAGCCAATTAGATTCCTTTATTTTGTGGAAAAGTACTTTTCCAGGCGAAATACCGGAACCTGATCGGTCATTTCAGCAGTTGCTAGGGTGGCCTTTATAGTCGCTCGTGGGCTACACCATACTCAAACAATGTCTTCCGAAGCAATGGGAACCCAAAACGACCTAATGTAATCGACAGTCCACGGCCAGTTCTCAAAGATACACTGTAGGGTAGATAAGGCTGTAGCGCCGTATCCAACATTTTCGATAACTAATTAGATATCTCATTCGTGCCACAGTTGGTGTATACTCGTAAAATATTCACCAAAGTAATGCCGTTTCACATTACGATACATTCAATACACAAACCAAAATGGGACTCAATTAGGACGTTGATTTCGAGTTAGTATTCACCACGGACTGACATTTGGAGGACTATTGGAAATCTGAGAGTACTGGAAAGCTGTTTCGTCAATAAGTCCCCACCAGGCTCCAAAGTGGATTATTGTGCAGTGCTGATTAGCGACATGGTCTGAGATAAGATCCTGGTAGTTCCAATGAGAAGTCGTGACCAATGGGGGTGACCAAGTAGGATATGAAGACAAATACCCAACGATGAAATTGAGTGATGGTCGCGTTATGTCGTGAACTGACAGAAATAGGAAAATATGGAGTATTTAATTCTGACTCAGTAGCTCAATGGTAACGTGCTGACCGCGGAATCTGAAGGCCTTGGGTTTGATCGCTGATGGGTTCGTTGATGAGCCCTTCTGACGAGTGCCATACTTAAACTAAGCAGCCATCCAGTGGTTCTCCAACTAATATCAGTCCGTGATGAATACCAAATTAAAATCAATTAATAATTCCCCAGGAACTTCTAAATAGAATCGAGCAAACCCATTGCATTCACATCGAAATTTTGTAGGCAGTTAATCAATTAGAGCTGATATAACTTCTCACAAAGCCTAAACAGTCAGTATATTCAACTAATTGATTTCCGATTCTTAAATTATTTCTCTGGGCAGATTAATGCGGTATCATTGCATACCATCTGACAAGTGAAAAGTGAGTGTTAAAATAATCAGATTTTTGTTCAAGACTTTTTATAGTGAGAATTTGTAATTCCGCCAGCGTCTTTCTTTCACAAGACTGTAATATTTATACATTCTGAGTTTACTGAAAGTCTTCTCGGAACAGATCAATAAATGAAAAGTCGGTAAATATCACAGTCATCCTCAACAATACGTCTATGTAGCAAATTATAACAAGAATAAGGAGAATGGACATTGTCAGTTGACACCAGTGATTGTCTTCGCCTCAGATGATAAACCCTCATAAGAATTACTTAAGTTCAAGTAGAAAATGTCAAGCAGCACAATACATTATTAAGTATATTATTCTATAAAAGTGCACTATCTCTGTTCAGCTTGAAACCAGATACTGACAGATACTGGAACTGCACTTTTTCTGCTTTCAGTCAGGAGATACACGTTTACTTAAAATAAAATATTATTTCAGTCTAGGGATGCATTGTAAAGATAGTGCCAATCTTCTATCGTTTCCAACAATAAAACATATCATTTGAATATCTCAGTCGTAGTTTGGGAGAATAGTTTTTATATATAAATAAAATATATGTTGATGATCTAACTCGGTTCACTTATTTGTTGATGTCAGTTATCTTTAAGTCTGACAGAGTCTCTCTTCATGTTAAGAGTTACTACCAATAAGATAGCAAGTGAACATTAAGAGAAAATTGTAGGCGATAGTTATTGTTATCGATTTGTCAGTTAAAACTTTACATTGAGAATACTCTTCTGAAGGACTAAAAATGCTTCACTTGGCCATTACAACTACCCGTTAGTGGGATGACATGCGAATGCATAACTTTCTGTAGTAAGATACACACTGTGGAAAATCATCTATCATACAACTGAAACTGCAGTTAATGTGTACGAATTCGGAGAGTATAGATAGGTATCGATATATGTAATGCATGAATGGATGCAGGCAACTGAATAAATAACTTGAATATCCAGGAAGAAATAAAGGGGGAGTAAGTTTGTTCATGACCAGAAACGAAGTACATTCTGTTTACAGAAGATAGATAGTTGATTTTCTGTGTTTTTCTCATCATAGAAGTTGAGTACTGATTGAAGCATATGAAAGATGAAAAAGGGTAAGTTCTAGATAACCAGATACACACAGAGATCTGCTAGAAACCATTTACACACCACCACAATGAAATTACTGGTGTTCTTACAGTTGTGTCTGTTCCTCAAAGTATCCTACGATCCGTTATGGGAAGCTATAGGGCTGGACGGAATTTAGAGTAACTGAAGTCAGTTTTCAGCCTCGCCTGGTTAACTGGTTCACTAGTTGCTAGCCTGTCCTAAGCCCGGGTAAACAGGGAAGGTTGGGATTGGGACTAGTAAACCTGCCCCGAAAAACCAATCCAGTCGCTAAACAAACTTCAAAGCATACACAAAATATAAAACATAAAAACAAACTTATTCCTCCTTGGAATCGGAGAGACAAAATGATACCAGTTGGTAAAGCCTTCGGGAAATCAGTCGGCCGACCTATCTTCTCTTCCTTCGATGAAAGCGAAAGTAAACGTGGAGACATGGAATGTCCGCACTATGTTTGAACCTAGCTGGCAAGGCTGCCCAGATTGAGAAGGAGATGAGAAGGTATAGCACTCAAGTGCTAGGAATCTGTGAAAGCAAGTGGAATGGAAGTGGACTCTCCAAACTGTCAACTGGAGAGTCGATAATCTAATCTACTCCGATATTATCACCCACACGACAACCACCAGCACACTGAGTTTTCCAGTGGCCATCATGATGTCCCCAACAGCATCGAAGGCTCTCTCTCATGCAGTGGGAACCAATCTCCCCCTGCAGCATCACGATGAGGATCATAACAGCAAGATTCAACTCAAAACGAAGGAAAGTCACAATCGTACAATGCTACGCCACACACCCACAAATAATGCAGATGAAGAGAAGAAGGAGGAATTCTACACACAACTTCAGTCAGTACTGGACAAGACTCCAGTTGCCAACATCAAAATCCAATCTAATGGGAGGGCTGACGTGAATGCCAAACTGCGTGGGGCAGACAACACAAGAAGAGAAACGATCATGGGTCGAGAGGCACTCGAACTCGGTCAAATGAATGAGAACGGAGAACTGTTTGCAGATTTCTGCGCATTCAACGATTTGGTGATTGGAGGAGAGGCGAGGCAGTGTGTTCAAGCACAAGGATATCCACAAAGAGAGCGATATGGATTTCACCAGACACACTAAATATCAGATCAACTTCATCTCAATATGAAGAAAGTGGAGATGGAGACGCAGCCAGCCTACTCCACACAAGATCACATGAAGAAGGGGAGCAGATGCATGTAGGTTCACACCACTCACACTACTTCACTACCCACTACAAGCAACCTACCTTATAAATCAAGTTGAAAACCTTCAATTCAAAGAAGATGGTGGTGATAGACCACAGTTCAAGTTGAACATCCAGAACAGAAACTGCACTGAAGCATGAAACTACAAAGGGCATCTTCACGTCAACCATCACGACAAAATGGAGATGTTGAGCAACATCCACATCCCTGACGGATTGGGTGTGGAAGAACATTGGAACTCTTTGAAAGCTATATGGAAAGAAACCTGCATAACGTATTAGGAAGGAAGGAAGGAGAAGAAACAAGACAAGGAATGGATCTCTGTGGACATATGGAAGCTGATAGAAGAGGGAGAGGAAGATGATGATGGTGAAGCAGAAGAAAAACCAGTGTAGTGTAGTGTAGTGCGGAGATGAACAACGAGAAGAGGAACTGAGTACAACTTATCAAACACTACACGGGTAAAGAAGTGAAGGAGAGTGCGCACAAAGACAAAAGACACTTCTAAGACACACTTGCAACTGAAACAGAACAGGCTGGTGGTACGAGAGATAGAGACCTGACAACATTGTATCAGATGACCAGGTTACTGTCTGTAAGTGAAGAGATCAACACAGACGAAACCAATGAAAGATAGTGAAGGATAGCTAGTTACCAAAGAGAGAGGATAAACAAAGGAAATAAC